TCAGCCCGAAAAATGTGCATAGTCTTCCGGATGGGTCTAGCTGCTCCCAGCCCTGCTTGGACAGGTACACCATGATGACCACCGGGCTGGTAAGCAGCTGCCCGACCAGGTCTGTGAGCGCTAGCCAGCCGATGCACAGCAGAAAGGACTTCTTGCGCTTGCTCTCGCGGCGCCGGTAGCTCCGCGACACGAGCAGCATGGCCAGCGCGTTGCCCACGAAGCCGGTGATCAGCATGGTGATCGGGAAGGCCACTGACACCGATCCGCAGTCCTCGCGGCCTGGGATGCGCGTGAGGTTGCTCCGCACCTCGGCGGAGAGCTCAGGCGCCCACATGCCTGGATACGAGTGGTTGAGGCGTGTGCAGAAAGGGGTGCCCCCGCCGTCGCCCCGGGTCTCCTTCATACTGTCTTCGAGGTGAGTAGGGGATGGCGTCCGGAGAGCAGAAGTGGGAGTTGACAGAGGCTGCACCCGCGGCGTCGGAGGTCTTTCCCTGGTAGGGTCTGCGCTCCCCGCCATGGTGCAGGGAGCAGCCGCCGCCTCACTCCTATACTAGGACCGCGGTCGCAGCCGCCCGAGTTCTCAGGCCACTCAAGCAGCCGCGCAGTCCGCTGGGAAGCCTCTGGCTCCGAGGCGCTCGGAGGTGCCGGGCTCACTCTATAAGGCCGAGAGGCGGGGCGCCCGTGGGTGTGGGCAGAAGTGAGGTGGGAGGAGGGTGGAGAAGCAACCAGCGCCGCGCTTGGCTGCCTGGGCTGGCAAAACTCCTAGGCAGACTGTTGTCTTAACTCCCCTACTCCTCGCCGGACCCGACTCCCACTCGCCTCCCGGCCAGCTCCCGCCTCTAGTCCTCGGCCGGAGGGGTGTGTGTCCCTGGGAGGCGAGCGACTAAAGTGTCTCCCTGGATTTACCAACCCTAGCCTCGCTGCTGAGGCGAGCTTTCATCCACAGATGTTCCCGCAGGGACGAGATCCTTTTTTTGAAGTCCTTTTGCAACTCTAACAAACGTGAATGACCGACTTTCAGCAATCTACGCGAGCCGCAACCCCTTCGCACAGATGAGCGTCTACATTTTTTTTTTTTTTTTTTGCTTCCTACTTTGGAGCTCTAGAGTTACATGGAAGACTAAGATGTACCGCCCCTTGGGGCCCCACTGAAACTATAATTTCATAGAGAATGCCCGGAGATTTCAGAGACTAGACAAGAAGGAGGAAAATCAGGTGGTCAAATTCAAAAATAAATCCCAATTATAAAGGCTCCCCTAAAGCTGCTCCACCGCCTCCCCAAAACGTCAGCTAAATCAAAAGTGCCTAGAGGCAGGTAGCAGCTACATGCATATCTGAAGCAGTAAAATGTACTCCTGTTACTTACGAGAGTGTAGTGGAGGAGAGAGGCATTTCCTTACAAAGTCTGCAACCATCCTCCTCCACGCCATTGCAATTCTCTTGTAATTAGAACTCTAATAGAAACTGTATTTAGGGGGACCAGCAGATGGCGAAACGGTTATGTCGCAGGACTCCCACATGGCTGACCACAAAGAGAGTCCCTGACTCAGTGGCTTGAAACTCACATTAGGCTTGTGTGCACGTTCCCAAAATCCTGAGAGGAGAATGGAGACGGGATTACAGGTGGCCACTCCCCCCTGGGGATGAGGGGTGATTTCTCGCGCTATGTCTCTTCTGTCTCTCCTGAGAGCCCACAAGCCCTATAGCAAAAATCTCTCAAAAACAAACCAACAAACCAAAAGACTATTTATGAAGACCTGTGTTTGCACAAAGACCTTAACCCATCTGGAAACTTTGCTGTTAAAATAATAATGAGAATAAGACAGTGTGGAATGGGGGGTGGTGGTGAAGAGAAGAGGATAAAGATAGCAAGAGAACAATAGAGAGGCAGGACGTTAGTGAGAAACAGATATGGTTTATTACCTGTTGATGACATGTATAGTATTCTCAACTGGATTGGTCTGAGAAGTATTTCATGATGGGTAAAGTCTTATTACAAGCAAAATGAGAAATAGTGATTGACTGTTTTTAAAAATAATTAGAATAATAATAATAATGATTGGGAAAATCATAGAAAAGATATGGAATTTTGAAGCAGGAAGATTCATGTCTCTGTATTGACTGACATGCATAGCATTCCCTTTTGAAAAAGCAATGTAATACAGTGTAAAGTTATATGTAATCCAATGTAATATAAAGAAGATTATGATGATAATAAAAATTAAAAATTAAAAAAATACACATCCATCGAAAATAGGTATAGTTGGGGTCGGCAGGTTGCATGGTAGTTAAGGGCACTAGACTCCCGAGTGACTAACCGCGGTTCGAGTCCCAGATCTGGTGGCTTCCTTTCTCACTCTCCCTTTCTCTCTCACTCACTGTGTCCCTCTCTGGTCAAATTAAATAAATAAATAAATAGATTAAGCTAAATCAAATAATTTTTTAAAAAGAAAATAGGCACAATTCCCCACCTATCTTTTAGTAAGCCAATACTTTATATAGTTTCACAATATATTATATATTTTCGTGGCATTTTCTCATTTTATCACAGTGGTTCTCCACCAAACTATTGCATTATTACTCCCTTTTAAAGGTGATATAATTGAGTTTCCATGAAGTTAAAGGATGTGCCTGAAATCCCTCAGCAAGTCCCCAGTATTCTTAGTTGGAAACACAGTATCTTTATTGCTAGATGGCATGTGTGCTAGCTAGAGATGAAGAAAGGAAAAATGCACGCCCCAAAAAGGTGTGGTCACGCTGCAATGTTTTTCATTTCTTCATCTACTCAGGATTTAGGATGCGTAGGTAGAAGCAGGCTGGGATGTTTTTCAAGCCTCTGGCCGGATTCTAACTGTGGTACACCATGTGAGATCCAGCTCTCTAAACACAGCACTTAACCACTGTGTGAAGCACAGTATTCTTTATGTAGATACCACAGCTGCCCTCAGCAAATGAAAATTAAGGCTAAAAATGCTTTTCCCCAGATTGCCTTTTCAGATTGTCCAGGAAATAAAAAGATTTTAAAAATATTTACAAACTTTCTCTCATATTTAAGAAATTAGACCTAATTATGTACTGTTATGAAGGTCATCATTCAGATGGACTAGGTTAACTTTCAGAACAAGCCAGATCATTCCCCCCCTCCCCCCAGTTTAGTTGATGTTCTGTTTGGGTGTTTCAGTGTTAAGAGATGAGAATGGGATATGTCCTTCTGCATTCTCTTTTTCTGTAGTGTTGCTTTGAATTTGCATGAGGGCTTGAAAAAAATCATTACAGTGCTTTATATTGTTCAGAGGAGAAAAGTTAAGAATGTTATTTAAACCCCATTTTAATTACATTCATTAATCCCAATATTAATTTTATTTTGTGTTCACATTAAAAATAGGTTTCCTGCACCTTTGATTTTTGCTACTTAAATGATCTAGTTTGTAGCAAAAATGGCTAGGAAGGAATAGTGATATGGTTTACTTTATAAATCTTCTCCAAACCTTTTTTTTATTACTTTAAATTAATCTCAAATCTATATTTAAGAAAATATTTTTTCTAGAATAATGACATTTCAAAGATACAATTTTTTGTTAGTATTGAATAAAAACTTTATCTAAAGCATTTGGGTGAAAGTAAACAACAAGTTAAGTTTTTAGCAGTTAATAAAATTCTAGCATAATTATATATTTAAAAACTTAAGAACATTTCATAATTCATGCAGTGAAGGAAGCAAAACTGCTCTTTTCATAGTTACGTCAAAAATATTCTCATTTTTATTTACAAATATTTGACTTCCTTGACTCTTCTACTTCTCCAGCAGTGCATATTGTAGCCACATGTACAAGCATAGAATTCAGCTTTAGTCTCTTACCTCTATGCCAGTGCATTAAATGTGTTGCATTTCAGATCTTTTGTATAATGCTTCCCTTCTTTCAGCATTTTGCTTCATCCTATTCTAAACTGTCTGCTTGGCAGCTGTTCATCTTGTGAACAAGTGTCTGAGAATCTGAAGAGTCTCACCATGATGAGCCGGGGGTTGGTTAGCACTTTTACTACAGAAATACCCTTGAATTGTGTTGGTCTGAAACACTATCGCCCTCTAGTGATGTAAAGGCTAGTAACAGTCTCTAAATGACCAATGTATGGTTTGTTTAGGGAACCTTTGATTTCTTTCCTAGAGATCTTCTCAATACATAACTATGGCCATTTTGTTTTCCTTTGAGTTCACACCCTGGTATGTGCTTAATACATGAACCAATGGAGAATTAAATTGAAAAACCACATATTCAACTAGTTTTTATACATTCACCTATTATATCTAATTTAAATTCTGCTGTAGACATGTTTTTAACATAGGTTATTTAATCGTACTTCCTCTGGTATCCTAGTTTTTAATTCACAATACATATCAATATCTAGCTACTGTCAAATATTTAGAACTTTTATTAAGAAACTTACACATGGATACAAAACTTATACATGAATACAAAACAAGACAACTAACTAATTGCACATAATCAGACCCTTGATCACCTCCTTATAGAGAGAGAGAGACTGAGACAGTGAGAGAGAAAGTGAGAAATTACTCCCTGGAAGGAATGGTCATGTCATAATCCCTTCTCAGTTCTCATCCTGGATTGTGGCATGCACACACTTGCAAACAGGATGAGTTTCAAGTCACCAGGTCTGGGACTCTAACCACAGCTAGCCATGTGGGAATCCAACGCCTTAACTACCACACCACCTGGTGATCCCCAAATCTTGGGTTTTTAGTCCCAAATAGCAGAAGAAAAAACATTGATCCTATGGTTTTTGTCTTCTCAGTATGATTTGCCATAGAAGCAGGACCAATTTTAAAAAACAAAGAAACAAAGAAACAAACAAAAACAAAACAAACAAACAAACAAACAAAACAACTGTGAATAGTTAAAAAACTAGAAAAAGTTATATACCATTTTTCTCATGCTCTAGTTGGATTTATATCCAGAAGGCAAGGTAGATTTACATTCAAACATCAACCAATATGCTTACTGTTTCAACAGAAAAAAAGAATGTGGAGTTTTAAAGTCTTTGCTAAATCATACTTCTGGATATACACAAGAGTTTCTTACTATGACTGCCTTTTCTTTCTATTTTTTTACATGCCTAGTAATTTTTGAAATAAAAATTAGATCTAGACCCCGTTATTTTCTTCTGAGGATTATTGATTTTGTTTGTTTGTTTGTCCTGTTTGACAGTTAACTTATCTGGATTCAAACTGCCAATACTGCCTCCCCTGCAGTATACAGTTATTGATCTTTCTCATTCTCATTGTGTTCCATGGCTGCTCTTTTAGGTTGGATCTCTGAAAGTGAATCTCTCTTATGCCTATAGAATGATCTAGTCAGTAAGCAATAGGATTGCTGTCTCTATGGTTTCCTTTGTTTTTAGGGATTATCCTCTAATTTCCAGTTGCTCTGCCAATTTAGGGCTGAGCACTGGCATTCCAAACT